GAAGGGTGCTACATAGCAACAGTGTTCCTGATTGCCACCACAACAGTACCAGTGTTAGCAGACCAGTGCAGTGATTGCAGCCACACCATTCTGAGTGTGGTCAGACCAGTGTAAGCCATCAACAGTGTCCCTGATCACCACCACCTCAGTACAGTGTCACCAGAGCCAATGCAGCTAGCAACAGTGTTCCTGATCACTGCCACACCAGTGCATTGTTGCCTCTGCCTACAACCTGTACTGACCCTGGCCTGTTTATTGACCATATTTCAGCAGGGAAAAAACTTACATTTAGTATGATGTGTCCCTAATGATGATTCTCCTTCGCTTAGGAGAAATTTTAATCTTTCCTTACCCCTCCTCCTCCACCCCTGATGCTGCACTGGAAAATTAAGGCAACGGAGGGGGGAGGAAAGATGAAAACTTCTCCTACAAGAAAAATCAGCACAAGGGACACACCATACTAAGTGTAAGTTATAACCCTAGTGTCGATTTCTTTGTTTGTAACTTAGGCTAAACTCAATTAAACTTAATTTTGACAAACATTTTATCATCTTGGACTACCAGCTGAGTGGCAATTAGACTAATAACAGTCACAGAATGACTTTTAGCACCACAGGGGACTGTACCCTTTTTCATGTTTGCTATGAGAGCTTTATGATTACAGAATAGTTCCTATGTGGAAAAGCACGAACCTTGTATAAGTGGCAGCTAAAGGCAGCATATTCCCAGGTATGTAATTGCTGTGCCTGTCTACTGTTTACTGCTAAGTCCTCATTCACACTGGACATTTTTACAGCTGCTGTTTGTGGCTTTTGACGTTTTTTTCTACAGCCAGTAAACCCCCCAGCACAGGGGGTGGACTGACAACTCAAGGGGGCCCCTGGCAATAGGGGATCATGGGGCCAGTGTCCTTGCCCACACTCAAAACACACCCAAAAAAGCCTATAAAAGGTACCAGGGGCATTTCGTGGGGCCCCCTACTGACCCCGGGCCCTCGGGCGGTGCCCGAGTGCTCGAATGGTCAGTCCGCCCCTGCCCCAACATGTTATACTATATGTCCATGCAAACATAGATTGTGATCCAATATTTTTTGGCTGGAAAAAAAACCCAGGAGTAGTGGGTTTCTAGAGGAGTTTTTTAGCTGTACAAATGCTCTAATGCTAAAAAACGTAGCAAAACGTGGTAAAATGCGGTAAATTGTGTTTTCGGACTTTTTTTTACCCCAAAAAAATTTTTTTGGGGAAAAAAAATTAAAACCTGCAAACGCAGAAAAATGTGGGAAAACGCAGCTAAACGCTAATGCAAAAACGCTAAAAAAAAAAAAAAAACTGGAAAATGTTTTTAACGTGACTTTACACAGCTAATGTTACCAGCGTTATCAAAATGCCCCCCGTGTGCATGGAGCCTAAATGTTCTAATGCTGTTGCTAGTTATGTGCTTAGCTAAGAACAGCCGGTCCTCCCCTTCCTCCAGAAAAAACTTCTGGGATGTATGACTTAATTTTGGCCTAGGTCAGAAATCAGGAATAAACTGAAGAAGTTTAAAAAAAAGTTTAAAACAAGTAAATATGATATACTATACCTTCATATCTATTTACTAGAGCTAACAGCATAAGGATTGTTAATAGTTAATGTTGATTGAGAGAGTTTAGTTCCGCTTTAAAGCATGTTGTGCCTAAACATACTTCCAGAATTCATGGATTGACAACAGACAGCAAAAGAATACTCTTGAGGCTACTGCTACTGCTGCTGCTTGAATGAGAGTACGGATGGGGTTTGTGAAGAGGGAACCAACAACTGAGCTCCCATGACCTCTGGGCCCCATGGTGAGTGTGTTGGCTATGCAATGCTGCTCTCAACAACTGCAAAAATAGCTATAGCCTGTTTCAGATGTCATCCTAAAACAGAAAGGCATTTGGGATGTAAATTTTGTAAATCTGCACCAACACAACATTTTTCAGACATTCATTGAGACTGTCAGTACATGCTTATGGGCACTTTGTTAACTGATGTTTTTCTCTGTGTAATTGTGCTAACTAAACTGTGGATGGAGCTTGATCTATATGTGATCTGTTTGTAATTCATTATGCTCACCATGATATTCAAACTTTAATCTGTCAACGACTGACTCTTTATCATTCATTGCAGAGCAGCTTATTCCTTCCTGAAGTTTGCCTGTAGTCTACCAGTTGACTAGGTGGGATGGGTTGATGAGTGGGATTTTCCCCCAGCTGCAGACCCCCTCTTATCTCCCCTTCTTCCTTCTATCCTCTCTTTCTATTTCTCTACCTTTCTCTGCTTCTGTCTGCCTTCTCATTTTGTCCGCTTTCACGCTTTGGCGTCACCGATGAGTGACTCAATATAATTGGCATTCCAATTTACTGTTATTTTTTCCATATTTATGTTGTACTCGTACCAGTATATCCCACTGCGCTGGGGCACAGTCTATTCATATTCTTGCTGTCTGATGCTGTTAAAACTTTAATAAAAATTATTCAACAGAAAAATGTGAAATTGCCTAGCAGTATGGCGACAGCATATGCTGACTTTGTAGGACTGCAGTGATAAAGGTGTAGCACTACCCCCTTAGGAGTTGCTAAAGTTTTTGGTCCCCCTATAGTCCTGCACAGCCAGGAAGCACACATTTTCACATTGACTTGCATCCAGGAGTCAGTGACCAGTCCTTGAGCTTTGTTTTTGTGATTTTATTAGGGGATTGTAACTTGGATAGGGTAAGGGGTGTACGGGATGCCCAATGGAACTGTAAGAGGACAGTCTTTCTGAACTATATATACGTTTTTACACAAAAATCCTCTTCTTGGAGAGCTAGCCATCGTTTTCTGTAGTACCACACTAGACCCCCAGATTCTCCTAATCCAGCTATTCTGGGTGAATCCCTGAGCAGGGGATCCAGTGCCTGTCACTTTAAAAGAAGACAGTTGCGGGTAGGTGCTAATCTGGTTTCCCATCAGAGTGCCTCCTTCCAGAGTGGCCCAGGGAGTGCAGGTCTACTCCCTCAGTCCTTCTGTGCTGTTGATGGGTTAGTGGCTGCTACCAGGCCTTATAGTTGGGCCGCTACTTCCCTGCCTCACAGGTGGTCCTCTCTCAGGGGGTCCCAAGCTTTCCTCCTTACAAGGTCCTCTGCCTGTAGGTGAGCCCCTCTCCATCTGGGCCTCCTCACAGGCTCCTGTCTTCCAGCCTCACATCCTCCTCAAATCTCCTCCTCCCCACTACTCCCTGCTGAGCAAGCTCAGTTACTCTTAAAGGCCCCTTGCCAAGCCTCCTGTTGGGGTTTGGCCAGAACCCACCAAGAGTACAGACCAGCCACTCCTCAGATCCACCCACTGTTTCTAGATCTTTCCCTAAAGCTCTAGAGCAGGAGGAAATTCCAGAGGACTGGTCTGCAGAGCCTCTCAGCTCTGAACACGATTTGACCCCTGCTAGCTATCACACCCAGGCTGCTACTCAGTCCTCCTAGCTAACAATTAGAGTTTAGCTCCCCCTAGCTGACTAGGAGGGTGCTACAGATGTAGACACAGATGATCTAGGCAGTTAGTCAATGTGTAATCACATTGGTAGTTCCTCTACCCAGGACAGGGCTTCTGTGAACAGAGGGGATTCCCTTCCTTGGAAAATAGCGGGCATTTTAATGGCACATGTTCATGGGAGTTACAATGATGCATTCACGGTACACTCAGAGCACATGCACAGCGGTGTCATCAGTTGGAGCCGATGTGAATATCTACCAAACGATGCACATTTAGTAGATGTTCAGGGTACCTATAGTTAAGACTTATTAAAAGCTTACCTGTAGGTACAATTTTAAAATTGGAGTTTAGTACCACTTTAAGTTTCCTGGAGTTGGGCTTTAAATTAAAAAATAAATTAAATTGATATTAAAAACAGATTTATTTTTTTTTTAAATAATAAACCCCCACCAGCGCTCCTGGCCCCTACCTCCTGCCCCCACAGCAAGCAGCTTGCTATGGGGGGCACCCAAGTAGGCTTACTCCCGAGCTGCTACTCTGTGTGTCCATCTACACATGGAGGGTATCTCGGCCCCACCCCCCGCTCTCTTCTCATTGGCTCACTGACTGCGATTGACAGTAGTGGAAGCCAATGGCTCCTGCTGCTGTCTCAGCCAATGGGGAAGAGAAGTCCTGGAGAGCTGCTGCTCTTGTGCACATCGCTGGATTGAGATATAGCTCAGGTAAGTTTTTGAGGGGGCTGCACACACAATGCATGAATGTAAAAAGCCTTGAGCCTCTTTCAACCAATTTAAATTTAGCACTAATGAATTGTGTAGATAAATGTAGTGGAATGAAGTGAAAAAAATTCTCACATCTTCATTTCCATGCCCACCTATAATGAACATGTAATATTTACACGAGCTGCAGAAAACTCTCCTCTAGAGTCACACTGTGGCTTGCCATATGACCATACACATAGGCTATGGTTATGCGATTTTTGTTGATGAACCTTGGACTAGGGTATTCATTCAAAGCCAAAAATCAGCGACTTTCTTGAATTCTGATCCTTCTCTTCAGCTACGATCACATGTTGGCATCAGAACAACTGCCCATAGAGCCCAGAGCGGTGTTTTCGGCAATACAGGTTAGCATTAAAGGCTTTATTGTATCATTTTTATTGTAACAATCACAAAGCTAGTCAGCATGGCGAGGGTTGTATATTGATTATAGTTCCACTTTAAAAGGATTCAAGGAGTGTAGAGAGAATTTAGACGCTATTCAGTGGGCTTTAGTGTAACCCAATTTTGCTTTCTTCTGTATTTATAGAGCTGTTGTAGGACATAACAGGCACAGCAAGTCACTTCCCATCTTTTCTGTCAGTTCATGCAGAGAAAAATAAACAGCAAGACTTCCCTACAGAAAATCACAAACTGCAGGCAGCCTTTATTAGAGAGCACAAAGGGCTGTGCTGTCCCAGTTTGTCATTATTAAAGTGTTACTAAACCCACAACAGTAAAATCAGTCTGTATATGCAGTAAAGCATGCTTGTTATACTCACTGTAGAACCTAAGGGGTTATCCTCTGCATTGTTTAAAAATGCTGTTTGATCCTGACTTCCCTGATCCTCCCCTTCTTTCAGTGTCCCCCTCTTATCTCCTGATGATAAGACATATAGCGGAGACACTCTGCACATGCTCATTTTGGTGTGTATTGCTAGAGAGGTTTTTTGTTTTCTTGGGAGAGTACATGTGATCAGCACAGGGTCAATCAGCACTGTCCAGACAGAGGTCAGGGGTTCTGCATCCTCCTAGAGCAGAAATAAAACTCTTCCAACAAGCCTTAACCATTGCTCGACTGGACACTGATAGAAGTCACACGACTGCTCTAACTGCTGATGAGAAAATGGTATTTAGCAGTTTGTATTTACTAAAATAATTGCATTTCCATGTTCTGTGTACTGTGGGAGACCAGATAGAGTGAATGTAGGGTCCTGGGTTTAGTAACACTTTAAGTAGTGATTTTTGAACAATTTATCAGAAGGATAACAGGAGAGCGTTAGATTGTCCTGCATTTAGGGTACACTGGTAAAGATCAGCACAATGGGGTTGATTTACTAAATGTAAATATACTTCAAAAGCACTGCAAGTGCAGTTGCTTTATATCCGAGGAGAAGCTCTGAAATGAGGCGAAGCTCTGCTGATTTCTTTTATCCAATCACGTGCAGGCAAAAAATGCTGTGTTTTTTTTTTTCCTTGCATGTTCCCATCAGATCTAGAGCAACTGCACTTTCAGTGCACAGCCTATTTACCTTTAGTAATCAGATGTGCCACTTGATTCTGCTGGGTCCCAAAGATCTGCAGTGTGGCATGGACATCCCAAGAGGTAGGGGAGCCCTATGTCATTCTCGTCTAAGCAACAAAAAAGGAAAAGGTTAGATACCTTTAAGGAAATATTGTCTATTTGTAAGAGAGAAAGGGGGAGGTGCCAGGAGGAAAAAAGGTGTTTTAACGGGTGAGGGCCCACCTTAAGGTATATATAGATGTATTCAATTGATTTATTTATTTATGAATAACCTGAATTGTGTACCCCTTACACAGAACATGGTAACTGTTTTGCAGTTTTCCCTCTGATTGATGGGAGTACTCTGATGCTTCATGCAAGTGAAATATGAGCGAGGCAGGCTCTTCAACATTATTTCTGCTGTCTGCTCACAGTCATCAGTAGAATGTACACTGAGCTGCGCATGCACAGCTCAGTTTACATTCCGGCAAAGTGCCTGTGTGCCGGTATGGTTGTACTCCTGCACATACAAGAGACTGACATCATCCCACACTTGCCAATCAAAATGGCTGTAGACCAACATCTGGAAGAACCCAGGAGAAAATGCCAGTGAGAGACCTTTCAGGTGTCGGTCTGTTAATGCAAAGGTAAGTATAGCGGAGTTAAATCCTGCTTTAATGCACTTTCAAGCTTATTTCTATTTCCAGGAAACAAAGATATGTAGATGGCGGTATTCCATACCAACCAATCACATTCCAGCTTACCAGTGTCGTCTAACACATGGTTTTTGGTTAGGATGGGCTTTTTTACATGAGCAGACCTCCCTGCTGCCCCTCCAAAGAGAGGTCCATGGTGGATCACTTTTCAGAAGACAGAAGAGTAACGGTTGTCAGGCATTGAGGAGGAAATACTGCTGAATCCTGAATACTAATTTTTTTCCACCGAAGGGGTATTTTCTATTGAAATACTGTGCCACAACTGCATGGACCCATTCACTTAAATAGGTTGGCTTTGGCAGCAGTAATGCCTGCCAAGCACAACCTCTAGTATAACTTTTACACAACAACTCGTAATGTTTCACTGCTGCAGCCCTCCTCAGACTGGGGAATCTTAGCAGAGTGACTGTAAAAACACACAGAAGAGCACAAACGCATTACCAAAAGCACTTTTTCCCACTTGCCCTCCAGAAGATTTTACCCCTTTCCTGACCAGGCCATTTTTTACTATACCACAGAATTGAGAATTGTGCGGTCATGCAACACTGTACCCACACAAAATTTATATATCATTTTTTCTAACACAAATAGAGATTAATTTGGTGATACAGTATTTGATTGCCACTGGGGTTTTTATTTTTTTGCACTATAAATGCACTATAAATTAAATTAAAAAAAATATATATGTTTTATGTTCTACTATAATTCAATAAAAAAAAAAATAAAAAAAATTTTCTTCATAAATTTAGTCCAAAATGTACTTTATTCTGCTATATATTTTTATTTCACAAATCCCAATAAGTGTATATTGATTGGTTTGCATGAAAGTTATAGTGTCTGCAAACTATGGAATATACTGTGGGGAAAATCATTATTTGATCCCCTGCAGATTTTGCAAGCTTGCCCACTTGCAAAGAAATGAAGGGTCTATAATTTTATCATACATGTATTTTAAATGATAGAGACATAAAATCAACCAAAAATTCAGAAAAACACATGATGAAAATGTTATAAATTGAGTTGCATTTCAGTGAGTAAAAAAAGTATTTGATCCCCTACCAACCAACAATAATTCTGGCTCCCACAGACTAGTTATGTGCTTATTTGGAACACAGATTAGTCCTGATAATTTAAGAAGGTGCTCCTAACAACAACTCATTCTGTGTATAAAAGACACCGGTTCACAGAATCTCTTTCTTCCATTCAAACCATGGGCAAATGACCAAAAAGTCAAAGGACATCAGGGACAAGACTGTAGACCTACACAAGGCTGGAATGGGCTACAAGACCATCAGCAAGAAGCTTGGTGAGAGGGAGACAACTGTTGGGGCAATTATTTGCAAATGGAAGAAATACAAAATAACCATCAGTCACCCCAGGTCTGGAGCTCCATGCAAGATTTCATCTCATGGGGTAAGGATGATCAAGTAAGGGGTCAGTCGAGAATTACATGGGAGGAGCTTTTGAAGGCAGTTGGGACCACCAAACAATCCATTGGTAACAAAAAATACGGAACCATGGATAGAAATCATGCAGCACCTGCAAGGTCCCCCTCCTCAAGAAGAACATTTAAATGATTCAGAGAAGGATTGGAAGAATGTGCTGTGGTCAGATGAGACCAAAATTGAGCTCTTTGGCATTAACTAGACTCGCCATGTTTGGAGGAAGCAACATGCTGACTATGACCCTAAGAACATTATGCTTTGAGGCTGTTTCTCTGCTAAAGGTAAGGGGGCAGTGGATGGGGCCATGTATTGTAAAATCTTGGATGAGAACCTTCTTCCCTCAGCCAGAACACTGAAGATGGGTTGTGGATGGGTCTTCCAGCATGACAATGACCCAAAACATACTGTCGAGGCAACAAAGGAGTGGCTCAAGTAAAAGCACATTAAGGTCATGGAGTGGCCAAGCCAGTCTCCAGACCTTAATCCTATAGAAGATTAATGGAGGAAGCTGAAACTTTGAGCTGCCAAGTGACAGCCAAGAAACCTTAAGGATTTAGAGAAGATCTGTAAAGAAGAATAGACCAAAATCCCTCCTGAGATGTGTGCAAACCTGGTAACCAACTACAAGAAACGTCTTACCTCTGTGCTTGCCAGGAAGGGTTTTCTCCACCAAGTACTAAGTCATGTTTTGCTTGGAGATCAAATACTTATTTTGCTCACTGAACTGCAACTCCATTTATAACATTTGTATCATGTGTTTTTTCTGGATTTTTGGTTGATATTCTGTCTCTATCATTTAAAAAACACCTATGATACTAATTATAGTCTCTTCATTTCTTTGTAAGTGGACAAACATACAAAATCTGCAGGGGATCAAATAAGTATTTTCCCCACTGTATACTGGAAATTTTTTTTTTCTTTTAATTAATTTTTTACTTATAGGACTGTAATAGTACGGTGGTCAATCTGACACTAACGGAGACTTTGTGGGAACCAGTGAAACTAATACATTGATCAGTGCTAATAATATACACTGACACTGTACTAATGTCACTAGTTGGGAAGGGGTTAAATGCATGCCTAATAGTGTTTTGTGTGTACAGCATGCTTTTACTATGGGATGAGTCAGTTTTTATTCCCTGCTTTGCAGGGAAATTAAAATAGTCTCATCCCCACTAACAGAGTAGTTCTCTGTATTGTTTACAAGCACAGAGATCTGTCCTGTCACCTTCTTTGCCGATCAACAAGTTCCAGCCATCAATCATTGGCCGGAACCCGCTGATCAGTTTGTGCTGTGTCTAACCTACCCGGAAGAGCTGGACCATGTACCAGGTACGTGAGCCCTGTATTATCTTATGTTTGTATGTTTTTGGCTTGTGGTTTTAATAAAAGTGGTTTTGGTAATGCGCTATGTGTTTGCACCCTTCCTTTGTGTTTTATTAACATAAATATTACCATTACCATGGCAGCTGCCATGTTAATTTGCGGCTTGGTGGTTGCAGCTCAACTGCCTATTTTAGTACCTCCCATATAAATGAGGCCTATGGGTTACTGTTCTTTCTTCGTTGCCCTTCTCTTATTACTTTTCTCCAACTTTTCTTCAGAAGGAATCGGTAGTCAAGGAAGGATTATATCAACATCCAGAAGACCCATTGAAACAATGGACACACATTTGCTAGCCAATTTTTATTGCCTCCATGTTATATTTTTGTGCTGTGCAACTGTAATCTCATGTAATTCTAAAATATAAAAATGTATTCACTATGTAACATGTAATTGTAAGCAATTGCAATTGGAGGCCCCAATGTCCAGATGCATTTGAAATGTGTTTTTTTTTTGGGGGGGGGGGGAGGGGGGGTTTGGAGGGTTTTTTTTTTTTTTTTGGGGGGGGGGGGGGGTAGACAGAGGTTTATAAAAGGCAAAAAAAAAATTTGATTACCAACAAAAAACAGATGTATGACTATTGCCCTTATTCCTTTTAGCATCACAGATTCTAGCAGGTAGAGAATGCGGTACTGCCATTTCATTCAGTAGTCATGGAAATCAATTAATTCTAGGGGTCACCTGCATTTATACTTCAGAATTCAGCATCCATCTGCCTCAACCCTCAGGGATTCACTCACTGTTGATGTGATTCTCTTTTTCATTAATTCATTAAAATTAAAAAGCCGAAGACAAAGCCCATAAAAACAATATTCTCCCCATGCTGGTTATATGGATTTGTGAGAAGATTCTCGGTTTTGGAGGAGACGTAGGTAGGATGCTGCATGATAATTGCTTAGATGCATGGGTGGGATTAATCCACTT